CTCTCTCTCTCTCTCTCTCTCTCTCTCTCTCTCTCTCTCTCTCTCTCTCTCTCTCTCTCTCTCTCTGTGAGAGCATGTGTGTGTGTGTGTATGCCTGCATAACACATTTTCTGGTTAACTAACTAAATTGATCACATGTTGCTGTACAAACAATTATTACCAACATCCAATGAATTTGCTAGTCTTCCTCTTCTTTTTCAACACAAATCACAGGTCTCTTAACCCTTTCACATGAAACACTCCTTCTGTCAACATCTGTATATGAATGGTTTATAATGTTCTGGCAAACACTAACGAAACTCCGACACAAACATGACTGAATAATCCAGAGTGAAGCCTGATTATGCACACTAGTGCAGACTTCAAAGTCCAGATAGGAGACGTAACCAGCTCCTTATGGGAATAGTCAAGTGAGGTCCTTTGTGGTGGTTGCTACATGGGAGGACTGAGCCAGTGTGGGAATGTCCAACATGCTGTGACAGTCATTGTGATTACATAACAACATTACATGACATACCACCTTCTGTTGATATCTGCAATAACACTGTGCCAACAGCTTCAACCAGAGGTGCATGATGGGAAGGATACTAGCTAGGACATTTTTTGTTTGTTGTTATGTTTGGCCTGAGCACACAAAAGAAATCTGGCTGGATATTTTAGCTGACTTCTAGTATTTTCATGATCTTCACATCTGATGACTCAGTTATACTCTCGTATTTCAGCTATGCTGTATTATGTATCAGAATCAGCATCACTATACTTTAAGCATTCCCATACATGCTCAGTTCTGCTGATAAGGCATCCCAATGTACGTCCACTCAATGTTCCTAAGACAGGTTACCTATATTATCTCCTATTGTGACGTCAAAGACAGGCATCACTCCCAGGTCAGGCAAGCTTCCAAGACTCCTCAGTTTCCACCAACCTAGTACAGCAATGGCTATACCCCCTGCCCTAGCTTTTCCCTTTTCCCTGGTCTTGGCTCCCACTGGACTGCAGGTTACACCAGGCTGGTGAGGCCACTAGCTTGAGAATTTGTAATCTCAGGGTTTAAAACCTTCTGGCAGCGGTCCAGAGGGTCAAAACAGCTTGCACACTTCTTCCTACTGCATTATCTGCCAGCTGCGTTGAGCACTTCATTATGATTCAGTGTCAAGGACTGCCAGCCTAAGAATGATATGGGTCAGTCTTCACTTTATTCCATGGGGAATTATGAAAGAAAACAGAAAACACACACGCATATTTAGCAGGTATGATTATTACTGTAGAGCAAAAACATAAAAATAAATAGAATAAACATTAATTTAAAACACAGACATTTTTTTTTTTAAACATCACAGTTTACCAGACAAATCTGTGAGTCAGATGTCTGTTAGGGAAATACATATATGTAGTACATTAAGAATTAATCTAAATCAAAGTGGAAGGGTTAAATCAAAGTGTAGCAACTTAAAAAGAGCAGCATACTCCAAAATAAAACTGGAAAATTCACTCATGCACGACTACAAAAGCTCTGTGACTATACTGTAAGTTTACATTAGATAACCTGAGCTGCTGCAGCGTACAGTCATGAATCCTTCAAATCTGAATTCATAATTTATCAATATATATTTTATAATTTTATTAATTTAATATATATTCTTTAATTAAATAATAATTAGACCCCACACATGCTCTGCCAGGAATATCAGCTGGTGGGCATCTTATGAACAACCTGCAATTTGCTGGTGATTGCTGAAAACGAGCCACAACTGCAAGAAATAAGGGACATAATTTAACAGATAAAGTCAAAACAAGCGTTCCCAGTGTGGGTTCTGGGGCCCCTTTTGGAGAAAACAAAAATAGATCCATTGTTAACCCAAAATTATGTCGCAAGAGTCAACTAATTAGGAGCTTTCTTCAAAGTCAGAGTGCATCTGCCTGAGAGGCAAGGAACCAACTGTCTATATACACATGTCAGATCTGTAAAATGGACGTGCAAACACCACTAAGGTTCTGGAACAGGACTAGAGTACAGAAGCGTTATTTTAGCCGTCTCCATATGGGATGCAATTTTTCATTATTTGAAGCCCTTCTCTGGCTTTTGCCGGGAGCCCTGAATACAGCCAGGCCTTAAATATGGCTAAATGGCTGAAATGGGTTTCTGGGACCTCTGCATAGGTGGCACTTTGTGTCACTGGGTGATAATTGCTTGTGTGATGTCCTGGTGGGGTGCAACGAGAGAGAAAGAGAGTAGAAAATGTAAGAACAACCAAATCCTTCAGCTGGAGTTTACAGCCGGCAAAATGCGAAGAAGAAGAAAACAAGGGTCTTAATTTGAACATCAAAAAACAGAAAGCAATGGTAATTACAAAGAAAACGGATCCTCCAAAATGCAGCTTCAAAACAAAGGGGACAATCCTCAAGCAGGCTGACATGTTTAAGTACATGGGTACCCTTATAACATCAGATGAAAGCATGCATTAAAGAAGTTAAATGTAGAATAGCTCAAGCAAAGGCAGCATTTTACTAAATTAAGAATATGCACTCTTTCTTTGTAAACTAAGGTGAGAAAGAGAATTCTCAAGAGCTATATAAATCTTATCCTGACATAAAGAAGTGGAGCAATGACAGTTGGACGATTAGTGAAAAATAATTTGGAAGTGGCAGAGATGCAGTTTTATAGATGAATGATAAGAACACCACAGACAGGTTTTTAAAAAAAAAAATTTTCTTTTAAAATAATGATGTCTTGAAAGAAACTGACTTTACAGAGAGACATCAGGAGGAGACTACCTTCTTTGATCGTGTCATAAGAATGAGAAAACTGGAGTACATGGGGACAGTGGTAAATTTTGAGGGGAAAAGAGGCAGAGGGAGAACGAGAGAGAAGATGCTGGACAGTTTGACATCATGGCTTGGAAAATCATCCATGTCAGAACTGACTGAAAGTATATGAGATAGAAGGTTGTTGATAGACATAACTACCGACGCCACATGGCATGGACTTAAGAAGAATATATATTCAACTACCACTATCATTGTCATTAAGCATAATGGGGAAGAACAGTTAGTGATCTACTGCAAATACCTGGATCACTGACCATACAGGGCCTTTAAAATTATTTAGCCTGAAAATGCCAAGGCAAACCTAGAAAAGGCAGTTGGGAGTAGCAGTAGCAAAATCATCAAGACAAGTTAATATCACGTCTCGCCAAACAGAAGCTGTTCCTGCCATCATATCAAGGCAGAGTTAATTAAATGCTTCACCATATAGTTAATTTTTAACTTGATAATTCTCTACATAATGTTATAATGCTCGGCACAACATGTGTACAAGCAGTGTGCTACTAAAAGTGTCAGCATCTGCAACTTAAAAACATTTGCAGTGGGAGACAGAGTATCTAAGAGTGTGTCCTGTATTTGTATTCTTAAAACTCCACGTGGGTTCCGGGGGGCCTATGGGGGAGGGGGGGGGGGGGGGGAGAGGCTGACTCACTTTCCCTTAAAAAAGCAGGTTGTAAGATTTGGGATTTTCCCTTCAAAGTCAGAGTGCATCTTTCTGATATGCAAGGAGCCAACTTTGAGCATCCCATACATGCTCAGTTCTGCTAATGAGGCATCCCAATATACCTCTACTGAATGTTCCCATGACAGGTTAGCAATATTATCTCCCATTGTGACCGCACAGACAGGCATCGTCGAGCTTGACAGGATTCACTTCCAGGCCAAGACTCCTCAGCTTTCACCAACCTAGTTAGGCACTGGCCTATGCTTTGCCCAAGCCTTTCTTTCTTTGTTAAGTTAGTTGCGTATCCTTCACAGGACATTGAAGAATCAACCTAAGCATTTTTTGGCTGTTGTGGGTTTTCAACGCAAATTTACGTCCAGTAGTTTGCCATTCCTGAACGGTCGGCTTCTCAATACCACTGTCGAAACCAACGCAAGGCACAAGGCCCACAGCTTGAATCGAGCCCGGCACCACAGGATTAGGAAGCTCTTTCGCAACGCCACAGAAGCCGACAAGCTTCTTTCTACTAGTGTTTATAGCCAGTGTTAAAATGTCCAGGAGTGCAGTGATATCAATTTTTGACACATTCATTAATTAATTCTTATGAAAAAATGTGTTATCTATACGTATTGTTTGGTATACATCAAAGCATCAGCCAGTGAATGCAAAGACGAAGAGCAATATATCTAGAACATCTTTTCTCAGGAACTCATGATGAAAAAGAAATACACGAAGGCCTAAAAACAGACAGAAAAGTGAGCAAGAGATGGACAATATGGGGAAGATAAGGAAGCAGCTGTAGCAGACAATAAAGGATGGAAGGGCTTGGTGAGAGACTATTCAGTGTCTGTTGCACTAGCTGATTCAGGAAAGAAGAAAGAGATAAAGAAGAAAGAAGATAAAGAAATAAACTAGCTATGAAAAAGAAAAAAAAAATGCCAAATGCAACCAAGACCGGACAAGTAGAAACAGTTTTGGCACAGGATAGCTGCTTGAAAAACCATACTAAAATAAGTGTAGTTGAAAATGGTATACTTTAAATTCAATTTTAATCAACATAATGTATATTTGTATACAAATTTCTCTGACATGGCTTTCACCATTTAGAAAGTCAATATGGTATAGGTTGTGGCTCAAATCAGATATAAGAGTTAACTCTTTCTGTCTCATGCAATGCATCACATCTGCTCAGCTCATGTTTATTTGTGTGAATGCAACAGATGGTGTTTTATTATTTATTTCATGTTTATTTGTATGAACGCAATAGATGGTGTTTTATTATTTATTTCATGTTTCGTTTGGGTATGCAAAATAAATCTGTATATGCTGTATATGTGAAAGTCATACAACGGTGCCTTTTTAAATGTGAATATTGTAACAAATTGTGTTTCTGCACTGAAACCATACAGGAATGAAAAATTAAGTGATATATTCACAATCTGACTACAGTTTGCCCCTCATATAACCACATACTAGTTTGGAAATCACTAACCTTGAAGCTGCTCAAGAATCACCAGTATTCTAAATCAGAATCCCCTCCTTCATCTTCCTCTGTTGATGAATCGTAACTGCTGTTTGTAGAATCACTTCCATCATCATCATCGGCGCTTAAAGCATTTTCTTCCCCATTAACAGCATCGAACAGACTGAGACTGAATCCTGAATACATGGATCGATGGGCCTGAAGTGAGCAGAACTTCAGCGACATGCGAAGATACAGCAGCTGAGCCTCAAGGTGAATGAGCAGTGTCTGAGGTAGCTGGATCAGCTGGACAAGCCGACGTAGGACCGTACAGTTAAGCACCAAGGTGATATATTCTTCATATTTGCGAGCGCCAGACAAAAGATCTTCTGCTCTGAAGTTTTCTTGAATGGATGACACTGGCAAGATGTTGTGTAGACAAGCCGTGCTGTCAATGAGGCTCAACTGGGGACAAACATGTTTGAAACGTTAGCTTTCTGTGTGGGTTCCAGGACCCCATTTTGGTAGGAGGGGCAGAACTTTCCCACCATCCCTTAACAAGAATGTCATAAAATACAACTAACAAACTAGCTAACCAATCAGTCAATTAACCAGCTAGTCAAGCTAACCAATAAATATACCAGCTACCCTACTAGCCAGCCAGCTCCAGATGTGTTCTCATTCTCTCTCAGAACAGTGTTGGAATCTAATGACAATAACATACCTATAAAAATGCTTCAGTGACTTTGGTCACAAGCATGTAATTTGTTGAGTGTTAGTCAAGGTTCCAGCTTCACTACAGACATTTCGCAACAGAACTGCTTCATTGCTGTGTTAGTGGAAATCCACAAAATGTCCTTCACTCCCCCATTTGAAAAACTAGTAATAAAACACACGAGTCCCTGTAAAATCCTGAAGCAACCGTATGCAAAGTAAATGCATAAGACGGCTGTCAGATGTGCCAAAGCTAACAGTACACCACCAGAATTGCAGCTCACTGTTGATGAAAGCAGTCAATTACGAAAGGCAGGATTGTGCACACAATACGGCATAAGTACATGCCATTCCAAACCTAATTGACCACCCTTAATTTTAGAGCAGTTCAAAGTGCAAAACCTCTAAATAAAATTTTTTTAAACTATTCCATTAATAACATTCACACTCGGTGTTATACCTAGCATTTAACTCAGTAGCTGGGCGACAGAACCTTGGTCACAAGCATAACAGCAAAAAAAAGGTCACAAGCCCGTTGAAAATAATATACTGAACAACAAACAAAGAAATGCACCTGAAAGACCTTCCGAGCTGCCAGCTGTTTTAACGAGGCACTCTTATAACCAAACATCAAATGCAGCAGAGTATTGGCCACCGGACAGAGATGAGAAAACTCTGGAAAATCGTGCCTGATCAAATCAGAAAGCTCTTTGATGACTTCTTTGGTTGTGAAGTGACCTGCAGAAAAATAAGGGACTTGACTATCTTCTATGCACCATGCATGACTGGATTTATTCATCTGCAACAGTTAATATATTATGCTTGTACATTTTATATTTAGTCGGGACATGTTAACATACTCAACAACACATGGGTCTCCCACAATGAATGCGTATTTAGGCCCCATGGATGGAATCAACCATGACCTTCAGGGATGGAATAAGTTAATAAAAGCCTATAATTATGTCTAAGTGAGGACACAGCAGTAAAACCATGCTGTGAATTATCACGTGTGTCTACCAATATGACTGAAGCTCAGCTCCAGCCAGTGCTGAATTGAAGCATAAGCTAACTAAGATACAGCTTAGGGCCCCACAATATGCAGGGGCCTAACAAAAATGATTTTTTTTTTTAAATAAAAGCAATATTCTTTTAATATATTTCAACTGCCATTTTATTTTAATATATGTTATAAACTCTCCATGATAACTTTCTTTAATTAATATCATGTGTACAGAAAGTGACATGTTATGCAGCAAATCTACTCATGATATACAGTGGAACCTCGCTTAACGAGCATAACTCGTTCCAGAATCATACTCGTTAAGCGAAACACTCGTTATGCGAAACTATTTTTCTCATATAAAATAATGTAAAAAACGATAATGCGTTCCAAGTCTAAAAAATACTCACAAAACGCTATGTATAACGTTTATTCAAAGAAAATTATATATATATATACTGTTAAGCAGAGTGAATCATCTTCATATTTTCTTCAAACGCGGAACGAACCCACCTGGAATGCGAATTCGATTTGCAGAAAAAAAAAATTTGAAATAATTATGATACATAGCTAATTATTTTTTGTTACTAGAAAGATGTCCAGAGACATTTGTGCTTCAAAATTTGGCGAAAATGCGACACAGCATTATCGTTAAATTAATTTGCAACGCGCATAGTCACTTCCTTATTAGGGTGATGCTTATCAATGTAAGATGCAACAGTTTGCCATGCTTTCAGCATTTCTATTATTTCGCCTGAAGATTGTTGCTTTTCTGCTACCTCCTCCTCTGACAAACTGTCCTTAAAAACTTCTTGCTGTGAAACACAATGCAGTTCCATAAGCTCTTGGGTGTCAGCTCTTGTCTGTGCTCTTCCACAAGCTCTTCGATATCACCGTTATCCACCTATAATCCCATGATAGTGATCAAAGACACAATTTCGTTGACTACAGGTTCCACAGGTACTGTTTCGAACCCCTCAAAGTCACAAATCAACAACGCTCTCCGTCCAAAGCTTCTTCCAAGCAGAAGTTAGGGTTCTCTTGGTAACCTCTTTCCCGCCTTGTCGATCATCTTGAGGCAGGCAATGATGTGGAAGTGATTTTTCCAAAACTCTTTGAGAGTAAGGTTGGTCCCCTCAGTCACCTGAAAACAATACTCGAAGAGAGCTTTAGTGTAGAGCTTCTTGAAGTTAGAAATAACTTGCTGGTCCATGGGCTGGAGTAGTGTTGGGAGGCAGAAACTGGATCTTGATGAACTTAAATTCTTCAGAGAGGTCATCTTATAGGCCTGGAGGATTCATGTACATACATCACAATATAAGACAAGTTTGAGAAAATGTGTGATCACAAGCGACACCACGATGCTACTGGAAGGAGTGCTAAACACAGACTGATGTAACATGCGCACAATCCGGGACTTTCCCTCTCCTCGACACTCATTATGCGAAACGTCGCTCGTTAAGCAAGTCATTTTTTTTACAATTAGTTTTGCTCGTTATGCGAATTACTCGTTATGAGAGGTGCTCGTTAAGCGAGGTTCTACTGTAATCAATAGTTCTGCATTTGGAAAATCCAGAAGAAAAATCCTTTAAGTTGTAATGTAGAGCCTTTTAGATGGTTATATTTTTTCTGTGATTCTGCAAAAGACATTATTTTTTTTTATAAAAATTAAACGACACTACCTTTACATCATCCATATATTTAAAAGGTGTATATATTTTAAAGTTTTCTGAGATCAGCCAGTATAATCAGAAAAATGTAGGGCTCAGGGCTTAGGGCCTTTTCAAGTCCTGACTAGCCATTAATGAGGGAAAAGACAGACTATATGTATGAGTCAACAGTGATGAGTGGGATTTTCTTAATCTTCACTTCCACCTTGTACCTCGGTGAAGTGTCAGGGGAAGATGTTCGTTGATGAGCTCCATTAAGAGCACTATTAAGATTGATGTTTATTTCTCTAACACTGTTCTTAATGCCATCACTCCATCTTTTCCGTGGTATTTTGCTCGCTCTTTACCGTTGTAACGTTTTAGTTTGGCTTTTTTAGATAGTAAAAGGGCTTTCTTGTCAGGTGTCCAAATCTCTTCATTTGTTGTTCTTTGATAACCTGTAAGACTGGCTTTATTCCTAGCATTCGTCTGATTTTGTGATTTCATATTCTGTCTTTCCTTGAAACTCTTCTAAGGCATTTCATCTCTGCTGTCACAATTTTACTTTCATTAGAGGATGTAAGTGTCCATGTTTGGCACTGATAGCATAGTGCTAGCCAAAAAATAGTTCCGATAAGATTCACTTTAGTACTCCGGGGTATCTGCTTGTGTGTCAACAGGGAAGATAGTTGCCCCATTCCTCTGTTTGTCTTGAGGCATTGTTTTTTTAATTTTATTTCTAAACTGTCTTTCTGTCTTCCCATCATCAATGTCTCTGTCTTATGAGTGAGTAAACAAAATTAAACAACCCTTTTCATGCCAGTGAGGACACAGCAGTAAAACCATGCTGTGAATTATCACGTGTGTCTACCAATATGACTGAAGCTCAGCTCCAGCCAGTGCTGAATTGAAGCATATGCTAAGATACAGCTTAGGGCCCCACAATATGCAGGGGCCTAACAAAAATGATTTTTTTTTTAAATAAAAGCAATATTCTTTTAATATATTTCAACTGCCATTTTATTTTAATATATGTTATAAACTGTCCATAACTTTCTTTAATTAATATCATGTGTACAGAAAGTGACATGTTATGCAGCAAATCTACTCATGATATACAGTGGAACCTCGCTTAACGAGCATAATTCGTTCCAGAATCATACTCGTTAAGCGAAACACTCGTTATGCAAAACAATTTTTCTCATATATTAATGTAAAAAACGATAATGCGTTCCAAGTCTAAAAAATACTCACAAATCCTATGGATAACGTTTATTCAAAGAAAATTATATATATACGGTTAAGCAGAGTGAATCTTCTTCATATTTTCTTCAAACGTGGAACGAACCCACCTGGAATGCGAATTCGATTTGCAGAAAAAAAAATTTAAAATAATTATGATACATAGCTAATTATTTTTTGTTACTAGAAAGATGTCCAGAGACATTTGTGTTGGCGACGCTTCAAAATTTGGCGAAAATGCGACACAGCATTATCGTTAAATTAAATTGCAACGCGCAAAGCCACTTCCTTATTAGGGTGATGCTTATCAATGTAAAATTCAACAGTTTGCCATGCTTTCAGCATTTCTATTATTTCGCCTGAAGATTGTTGCTGCTTTTCTGTTACCTCCTCCTCTGACAAACTTTCCTTAAAAACTTTTTGCTGTGAAACACAATGTAGTTCCATAAGCTCTTGGGTGTCAGCTCTTGTCTGTGCTCTTCCACAAGCTCTTCAATATCACTGTTATCCACCTATAACCCATGATAGTGATCAAAGACACAATTTCGTTGACTACAGGTTCCACGGGTATTGTTTCGAACCCCTCAAAGTCACAAATCAACAACGTTCTCCGTCCAAAGCTTCTTCCAAGCAGAAGTTGGGGTTCTCTTGGTAACCCCTTCCCCGCCTTGTCGATCATCTTGAGGCAGGCAACGATGTGGAAGTGATTTTTCCAAAACTCTTTGAGAGTAAGGTTGGTCCCCTCAATCACCTGAAAACAATGCTCGAAGAGAGCTTTAGTGTAGAGCTTCTTGAAGTTAGAAATAACTTGCTGGTCCATGGGCTGGAGTAATGGAGTAGTGTTGGGAGGCAGAAACTGGATCTTGATGAACTTAAATTCTTCAGAGAGGTCATCTTATAGGCCTGGAGGATTCATGTACATATATCACAATATAAGACAAGTTCGAGAAAATGTGTGATCACAAGCGACACCACGATGCTACTGGAACGAGTGCTAAACACAGACTGATGTAACATGCACACAATCCGGGACTTTCCCTCTCCTCGCCACTCATTATGCGAAACGTCGCTCGTTAAGCAAGTCATTTTTTTTTTACAATTTGTTTTGCTCGTTATGCAAAATACTCGTTATGAGAGGTGCTCGTTAAGCAAGGTTCTACTGTAATCAATAATTCTGCATTTGGAAAATCCAGAAGAAAAATCTTTCAAGTTGTAATGTAGAGCCTTTTAGATGGTTATATTTTTTCTGTGATTCTGCAAAAGACATTATTTTTTTTTTTTTAAATTAAACGACACTACCTTTACATCATCCATATATTTAAAAGGTGTATATATTTTAAAGTTTTCTGAGATCAGCCAGTATAATCAGAAAAATGTAGGGCTCAGGGCTTAGGGCCTTTTCAAGTCCTGACTAGCCATTAATGAGGGAAAAGACAGACTATATGTATGAGTCAACAGTGATGAGTGGGATTTTCTTAATCTTCACTTCCACCTTGTACCTCGGTGAAGTGTCAGGGGAAGATGTTCGTTGATGAGCTCCATTAAGAGCACTATTAAGATTGATGTTTATTTCTCTAACACTGTTCTTAATGCCATCACTCCATCTTTTCCGTGGTATTTTGCTCGCTCTTTACCGTTGTAACGTTTTAGTTTGGCTTTTTTAGATAGTAAAAGGGCTTTCTTGTCAGGTGTCCAAATCTCTTCATTTGTTGTTCTTTGATAACCTGTAAGACTGGCTTTATTCCTAGCATTCGTCTGATTTTGTGATTTCATATTCTGTCTTTCCTTGAAACTCTTCTAAGGCATTTCATCTCTGCTGTCACAATTTTACTTTCATTAGAGGATGTAAGTGTCCATGTTTGGCACTGATAGCATAGTGCTAGCCAAAAAATAGTTCCGATAAGATTCACTTTAGTACTCCGGGGTATCTGCTTGTGTGTCAACAGGGAAGATAGTTGCCCCATTCCTCTGTTTGTCTTGAGGCATTGTTTTTTTAATTTTATTTCTAAACTGTCTTTCTGTCTTCCCATCATCAATGTCTCTGTCTTATGAGTGAGTAAACAAAATTAAACAACCCTTTTCATGCCAGTGAGGACACAGCAGTAAAACCATGCTGTGAATTATCACGTGTGTCTACCAATATGACTGAAGCTCAGCTCCAGCCAGTGCTGAATTGAAGCATATGCTAAGATACAGCTTAGGGCCCCACAATATGCAGGGGCCTAACAAAAATGATTTTTTTTTTAAATAAAAGCAATATTCTTTTAATATATTTCAACTGCCATTTTATTTTAATATATGTTATAAACTGTCCATAACTTTCTTTAATTAATATCATGTGTACAGAAAGTGACATGTTATGCAGCAAATCTACTCATGGATATACAGTGGAACCTCGCTTAACGAGCATAATTCGTTCCAGAATCATACTCGTTAAGCGAAACACTCGTTATGCAAAACAATTTTTCTCATATATTAATGTAAAAAACGATAATGCGTTCCAAGTCTAAAAAATACTCACAAATCCTATGGATAACGTTTATTCAAAGAAAATTATATATATACGGTTAAGCAGAGTGAATCTTCTTCATATTTTCTTCAAACGTGGAACGAACCCACCTGGAATGCGAATTCGATTTGCAGAAAAAAAAATTTAAAATAATTATGATACATAGCTAATTATTTTTTGTTACTAGAAAGATGTCCAGAGACATTTGTGTTGGCGACGCTTCAAAATTTGGCGAAAATGCGACACAGCATTATCGTTAAATTAAATTGCAACGCGCAAAGCCACTTCCTTATTAGGGTGATGCTTATCAATGTAAAATTCAACAGTTTGCCATGCTTTCAGCATTTCTATTATTTCGCCTGAAGATTGTTGCTTTTCTGTTACCTCCTCCTCTGACAAACTTTCCTTAAAAACTTTTTGCTGTGAAACACAATGTAGTTCCATAAGCTCTTGGGTGTCAGCTCTTGTCTGTGCTCTTCCACAAGCTCTTCAATATCACTGTTATCCACCTATAACCCATGATAGTGATCAAAGACACAATTTCGTTGACTACAGGTTCCACGGGTATTGTTTCGAACCCCTCAAAGTCACAAATCAACAACGTTCTCCGTCCAAAGCTTCTTCCAAGCAGAAGTTGGGGTTCTCTTGGTAACCCCTTCCCCGCCTTGTCGATCATCTTGAGGCAGGCAACGATGTGGAAGTGATTTTTCCAAAACTCTTTGAGAGTAAGGTTGGTCCCCTCAATCACCTGAAAACAATGCTCGAAGAGAGCTTTAGTGTAGAGCTTCTTGAAGTTAGAAATAACTTGCTGGTCCATGGGCTGGAGTAATGGAGTAGTGTTGGGAGGCAGAAACTGGATCTTGATGAACTTAAATTCTTCAGAGAGGTCATCTTATAGGCCTGGAGGATTCATGTACATATATCACAATATAAGACAAGTTCGAGAAAATGTGTGATCACAAGCGACACCACGATGCTACTGGAACGAGTGCTAAACACAGACTGATGTAACATGCACACAATCCGGGACTTTCCCTCTCCTCGCCACTCATTATGCGAAACGTCGCTCGTTAAGCAAGTCATTTTTTTTTTACAATTTGTTTTGCTCGTTATGCAAAATACTCGTTATGAGAGGTGCTCGTTAAGCAAGGTTCTACTGTAATCAATAATTCTGCATTTGGAAAATCCAGAAGAAAAATCTTTCAAGTTGTAATGTAGAGCCTTTTAGATGGTTATATTTTTTCTGTGATTCTGCAAAAGACATTATTTTTTTTTTTTTAAATTAAACGACACTACCTTTACATCATCCATATATTTAAAAGGTGTATATATTTTAAAGTTTTCTGAGATCAGCCAGTATAATCAGAAAAATGTAGGGCTCAGGGCTTAGGGCCTTTTCAAGTCCTGACTAGCCATTAATGAGGGAAAAGACAGACTATATGTATGAGTCAACAGTGATGAGTGGGATTTTCTTAATCTTCACTTCCACCTTGTACCTCGGTGAAGTGTCAGGGGAAGATGTTCGTTGATGAGCTCCATTAAGAGCACTATTAAGATTGATGTTTATTTCTCTAACACTGTTCTTAATGCCATCACTCCATCTTTTCCGTGGTATTTTGCTCGCTCTTTACCGTTGTAACGTTTTAGTTTGGCTTTTTTAGATAGTAAAAGGGCTTTCTTGTCAGATGTCCAAATCTCTTCATTTGTTGTTCTTTGATAACCTGTAAGACTGGCTTTATTCCTAGCATTCGTCTGATTTTGTGATTTCATATTCTGTCTTTCCTTGAAACTCTTCTAAGGCATTTCATCTCTGCTGTCACAATTTTACTTTCATTAGAGGATGTAAGTGTCCATGTTTGGCACTGATAGCATAGTGCTAGCCAAAAAATAGTTCCGATAAGATTCACTTTAGTACTCCGGGGTATCTGCTTGTGTGTCAACAGGGAAGATAGTTGCCCCATTCCTCTGTTTGTCTTGAGGCATTGTTTTTTTATTTTATTTCTAAACTGTCTTTCTGTCTTCCCATCATCAATGTCTCTGTCTTATGAGTGAGTAAACAAAATTAAACAACCCTTTTCATGCCAGTGACACATCGGACATATGATGCTACACTGATATTTTTACAGACAAACTGGTAATCTCGGCTGATGTGATCAACATCATGCCAGCTCACCTATCTTACCAGGACATTACCTGGCATTGATTTTAGGTTGGGTCAACCAGCGAGCCAAAGTCTTTTTTTTTTAAATCTGCGTGACAAAGGGTACACTAGTTTTACAGACACTACCATCTGGCAATACTTACCAGCATCCACCAAGCATGATATGGGTTGAGGTGCCCTGGTCGCTTGCTCATACAAACTAGAGTGCCGCAAGGAACGCTGAAGTGACACGGACATGAAGGATGCGAACAATGGGGAAAATTTTCTGTTTAAAAGAAATGAATCACAAATGTTATGATTATGCTTCAAGTGCACCCAATACAAATAGTGTTTTGCATTTTTTCTACAAAATTAGCATTGTTCTAAATTTAATTTAGGGAGAGGAAATATCACTGCAGCTAGGCTAGCATGCTGGTCTGAAGGCATTGGGTTTGATTCCACATCAAGGCATTATTATAACTGCCAATCCCCCAAACCCCCCTTCACCCTACCCTTCTCTTTTCCACTAACAGGTAAGTCAGTCTAAAGACATGATGAAGTCATTTAATCATGCCCCTCCCCCACTGTTCTTTAACATCTCACCCCACGCCTCTCATCTTAGCACCATCATCATCATCATTATCAGTTTAATCAGTCAAAAGGCTAATCATCTCACTCCATTCTTCTCATCATCAGGCCCACACAAAAAATGTCATAAAAGACGACTAATTAGGAGTGTTTCCTTCAAAAATGGAGTGCATCTGCCTGAGAGGCGAGGAACCAACAGGCTGCATAAAAGTATTCCAGATCTGTAAATTAGGTGTGCACACAAAACTCAAGGTCTGGAACAAGACCTCAATCCAGAATTGGACGAACAACCAGAAATTTCAGCAGCAGTTTACAGTGGGCGAACACTAAAGAGAAAAGAACAAGATCAAGAAAAAATAAACACCAATCTTCCTTCATCTTTATGTGATGTTAATAGTTCCAGGGCATTCTCTATATTTGTATTCCATTCCTTTTATTTTTTTTTATTTCAAGAATGATTCACCATTCTGTTAATCTGTTAACATTTTTTTATTTAAACCGAAAAAAATCGTTTGATACCAACACATCTGGTTTCCCTAGATACATAAACACTCATCGAAATATCCCTACACATATAGTAAGAGTCACTATAAATAGGAGATAATGGAGAAAAATGAGTTCAGAACTAACATCATAGCTTTCATGACATTCCCATAAGTGTTCTGTCCCCATTTTCAGCAGCCAGTGCAGACCTCCAATTCCAATGCTACCAGTAGCAGTCTGACTGTTATGTCTGTCTTGCCTCTTTCCTGAATACAGAGTGTCTGTACGATCCCTATGTCGATTCCCGCTTCAGCCTTCCTTTCAAACCGTGATGATCTATTTGTGTTTTCACTGTGTTTACCTGCTCCCAAATGTCTTTGACCATATCCAGCTTGTCAAGGATCAATTTACCACCACATGGTGCAGATATGGAATGGAAAAAAAGAAAAAAAAACAAACACAAGTAGGCACCGTTTTTTGCGTCTGGACTCCCAGACATAGCCTTGGATTGCAGGATCAGCTCCAGCCTCCAGCAGCATGCTGGCACTGGTGAGGTCTTCTCGGAGCACACTGTGGAACAATGCCGTCTGGCCTTGATTGTTCTGCTGATTTATCTGTGAGATATACAATCATTCGGTCAAGATTATGGACTCTGACATGGTCAGTCAGTCTAGATCATGTGCCTAAGGACATCATATATGAAGAATTACAGGTGGGTAGAAACTGTTGAGGTATGCCTCTACTATGATATAAAGATGTGTGCAACCAGGGCACGAAGGGTACAGATATTGAGATGGATTCAAGGGAACAGGATGTAATGGATCATATTGCATGGAGGCAGAAAACAGAGAAGAGAACAGAGATAAAGGGGAAAATGACTGTAGACAGGTTAAGAACTTAGCATCTGAAAAGAAGCATGATTAATAAAGCATGATTAATACATGTGATGGTAACAGTGGTGATGAAATCACATGCTCTAATTGTGAAAGACTTTTAACAAAAGCTGGTCTTGCTAGTCACATTTGCTACCATCATGGTCTGTGAATCCTATACTTCCCTACAGAACAATATAATGCCATTGTCTGGAAAGACATAAAAGCGACAACGAAGAAAAGGGTACTGTGAAAGACAAATGAAATATGTAGCGTTTAATACAAATTTTTTTCTTCTTCTTCTTCTTCTTATCTTTATCGATTTCAAGAGCAGGTGCTCACTCCTAGTTAAGCACCTCAGAGGACAGTTTGTTTGACCAGTTCGTATTTGTGTTAAGGTTTACATTTCTATGACCTTTATTCTGGATATGCTATGACCTTAAGTAAGATAAGCAGAGAATAGTAGTGAGGATAGTGGATATGTGTATCTACTGATGCCTTTCAGGAATGCTGTATGGTGAGGTCTCAATCTCTTCAATGGTGTGACTTGAAAGCTATGAGAAATGTTTCTTTCTAACCTGCCCACTGCAGAAATTTAACCCTGGCATGCCAAGGGCTGGGAAACATGTTCACTGCTTCTCCTCTTTTTTTTTTTTTTTTTTTAATTACATTCAGCAGCTGTAAACTCCATAAGAAATTTCTGGTTGTCTTTCCACTTCTGAGTATTTATTCTTGTTACAGAACTTCATTTTTCAGATCTGGCTTTTATGTATATGAGCTAGAACTGTATACTAACCCACAGGAGTCAAAAGCAATCAAATCTAGTTTAAAAAAAATTAATGAATCAAACAATTGTCCAGGCCTTCAGGTGTATGGGGCTAGACATATAGATATTTGATGCCCCAGTTGGCACTAGGCGGATGATGTGGTGATGATGTCATGCCAGAACTAAATCTGGTATCAAATTAACAATAATGACCTCTAACATTAAATCATGCCGTGTGGGTTCTGGGGCCCAATTATAGGAAGAAAAAAGAATAGACCCACTGGCTACAGAAAAGCATGTCATAAGAGTCGACTAATTGGAAGCTTCCTTCGAAGTCGGAGTGCATATGCCTGAGAGGCAAGGAACTAGCAGTCTGCATACAAATGAGTCAGACCTGCAAAACGGATGTTCATGCAACACTCAGGTTCTGGAAAAGGACTGGAGTCCAAAAATGGACAAACAACCAGAACTTTCCGCCAGAGTTTACAGCTGGTTAACACGAAGAAGAAGAAGAAGAAATCATGCAGTAAGCAAAGGGAAAACAAAACAAATACTTCTCAATAATGACCAGCACGAAAGCAAACTAGTAAGATGAGGAAAAGGGAACACAAACACAAGCTACAGCCAGGTGGTCGGCAGGTGGCAGATAACATGGTGAGTCCGTATAAGGGCTCACACTTTTCAGGACTCATAAGTGAGAACCAACATCCCACAACAACGGAAACTTCATTGCCATAATCCCCAACTGACACAAGTGGCAAAGAAATAAATACAAGGCATTACTCATCTGCCACAATGGTGAATATAAGAAAAACATTTTTAAAAATGACAGACCACAAATATAACCGACTTTACCAAGAAGCAGGTTGAACGTGGTTGAAATATTTTGTCTGAAGTGAACAAACATGCAGTACAGAGCAAAAATGGCTATTGTTTGCTTCCTTTACTAGCCCCATCAACACCTACAATGAGCAACTCTTAACTGAATTAAAAACTCCTGCGTGAACTCTCTTATCCTAAACTCACATTTGTATCCTTTATCTTTAGCAGGTACTGCAGAAAATCTGTCTTCACTTTCAACCTGGTCTTCCAGCTATCTTCATGTAGATCTTTCTGCAGAATATCACTCTCACTATTCGGTGAGGCATCATAGCTATCACTATCCAGCACAGATGCCACATTGCAGAGTGCTAGAAGAGGAGTGTTCCCAGAGGCATCTACCAAACTGGCACTAGCTCCATTGTCATAGAGCAACTTCAGCATGGAGAGGTCGTGGCTGAATTTGGTCACTCGGTGGAAAACCGTTGATCGGCTCTCATCCAGGACATTCACATTGCCCCCATGCCCTGAAAGTTATAGAAAGTAAACATCCACAATCTACTGATTACACATGGCAAATATACTCACAAGCTCCCACACAAAACTGAAGAACAATTTTCCTACCCAGAATAACCTAGACCTAATACTAGTCAGTTCATCTGTGCTGCACTGAATTATGTTCTGGTTATAATTATAGTCCATGCCATGTGGTGTTGGTAGTCATGTCTATCACAACCTTCTGTCTTAGTTACTTTCAATCAAATCAGACACAAATTTTTTTTTCCTCCTCTTCGCATTCAAGTCGGTGAACTGCAGTGGAGAATTAGGGTTGTCATCCACTTCTGGACTTTGGTCTTGTTACAGAATTTGAGTTTCTATGTGCACAGTCGTGGAACAGCTTCTTTGCATGCAGACTGCTGGTTCCTCGCCTCTCTGACTTCAAAGAAAACCCCTAAGGTTTTTTCGTTATATCCCACCCTCAGATGACGTCACAGGACAGTCCAACATTTTAGAGGGTAGTAAGACTGGGTTTCCCGGCTTTCTGAAGCTTTTAACGATCCCAAAACATCTAAAACTGGCCCTAACCCCAACCCACCTTTGTCCCATGAGAGAGTGCAGCCTAGGTCCCATGACTGCATGCAGCCTACGTCCCACAACTGCATGCAGCCTGTCTACCACCCCCTGAAATATTAGAATGTCCCATGACCTGTGGATTTCTCCTGTTTGCGGAAGATAATAAGAAAGCATCACCCCCTTAATAGTCTACTTTTATGACATGCTTTTTCACCACCACCAAACACTTTTTAAAATACAGCCCCAGAACACTTCCTGGGATTTCTAATTTCTTTAATGCCATGATGCCAACTCTAAAGCTTCCTCTGCTTCTTTTCCCATCTAACTTTTCCATTGTCACAATGTACTAGTTTTCTTCTTCTCATAATGGTATCAGCAGATGTAGACTGCATCTTTCTGATGTTGGTGAATAGCTCTGTTCATGGGTTGCTTTCTTCATGGGTGTATCTATCCAGAATGTTGTCATCATTCATCCAAACAACCATATCTCATCAACTTGCACGTAAATTTTTTCGTTAATCGGCTGACTGGCCATGATCTGCTAAATCCAAATATTACCTTTATATAGAGGTTGTTTAGGTACTAGTCTTCTGCACCCTGCTGGTTTGTGAGTTTAAAGAAGGAAGGAGAGCTCTGTAACACAATCTCCAGGTGTAGACATTTTGGTACCGGGACAGGGGAAGACAACTGCTCCACAAACCTCACTCTGATACAACACAAGCCATTTTGGGAGCTCAGTTGAGCTGAATGCTACAAGTGACTACAAGAAAATATGGGTATAGATGAGATCTACATTAATGTGAATTTATCAGGAACGGATACTGGGTACCCTGATAATATTCGAAAGGAAGATGTTACAGGTAGAATAGCTCAAGCAAAGGCAAAATGAAAAAAGTCTTTGCAATCTTCCTTTGTCAACTGAGACGAGAAAGAGAATTCTTAAAAGTTACGTTAAGCCTATCCTGAAATATGGAGGTAAATCATGGACAGTTGGCAGATTAGTGAAAAATTATATGGAAGCTAGAGAGATATGGTTTTAAAGACGAATGTTGAGAATACCCTGGAGAGATAAAAAGAGTAATGAAGAGGTCTTGAAAGAAACTGACTCATAAAGAGAACTGACTGCCCTCATAAGAAGGAGACAATGTTTGGTCACATCATGAGAAAGAGACAACTGGAGTACATCGTGACACCAGACAATTTGGAGGCGAAGAGAGGCAGAGGATGCTTGACAGTTTGAGATCATGGCATGCAGGATCATCTGTGTCAGAGTTGATTGAAAGTACAGGAGATAAAACGACTGTGGATAGACATGACTACCAACGCCATACAGCATGAGCTTCAAGAAGAAGACCAGCTACTGGGTCCCGCATAAAGTACAAGACGTGATCACAGTGAGACGTACTGATGATGTTGAACACCAAAGCCTGAACATCTGATTTCACATCTTCTCTGGTCAATAGAGGTTGTCTATTCAACCCCACAATTAATTCAGTCATCGGGTTCCAGGTTCTCTGGTGGGTGTGGCTGTGGAAGAGACATTTTCTTTATTACACAACACTGTATTGTCATCACAATGAGAAAAGTTGCATGAGAAGACACCTAGAAGGAGACAAAAAGAGAAGATGCTGGACAGTCTGGTAACATGACATGGAAGAATATCTGTCAGAAATGACTAAAAGCACACAAGATAGAAAGCTGGGGACAGACAAGGCTACCAACTCCAATGCTACATGGCATGGTCTATGAGAAAAGACTTCAGAAATGAACAGACTGCAAGGAGCTTGTTGGTAACAGAGTTGTGGTTTCTGGGCTGAGTGTTGCAGACTTTGGACAGCCAGAGTAGAAAAAGATGATGAAAGCAGAAGATTAGATGTGACAATAAGAAAGAGATAGTGCTCTTTTATGATGTTAGAAAACAAAAGTTAGTGAACATTATGACAACTATGAATTTTCTTATTTGACTCAGCCTAACCGATACCCGAACATTTTTTTGAGAAGCAAAAGTGGCTGGCATACTGATGACATTACACAATGAGCATTGACTGGTTTATAAAAAATGTGATAACCCCATCATCCACTCTTCTTTTGCTGCTGACATGTATGTCCCATTACCCACTGAAGACATGGAAAATAACACTTACTTCTCACAGACAGGTTCAACCCAAACCTTTCATTCTCCACCGGTTGTAAACTCCCGTGAAAAGTCCTATACATTCATCCACTTTTGAATTTGGGTCTTGTTTCAAGGTTTGAGTGTACACATCTGTTTTACAAATGTGGCTTATTGGTGTGCAGACTTCTGGTTCCCTGCCTCTTAGCAGACACATTCTGACTTCGAAGGAAATATCACCAACATTTTTACCAAACTCCCATCTGGGAACCTGTTTGTAAGATGACTGGGGAGAGGTGTAGCTAGGTCTTGTCTAGTTTCAGCTCTGGTCCTGGTGCATCACCATGTTTTAACTCAATGTATCAAGCCCTATTTACTCATAGTAAGGTTTGTCTTACGCACATTTTGTCCAGGACAAAGATCTTAGAGCCTTCTCTGTAGAACCACCTATCTGTGGCACTGTATCCAAGGAATGGATGAATGTTGGACAATGAGTTATAAAATGATGAATCAATAGGAGGCAGTGGAGATGTAGTCCTACATGATCACCAAGATGAAAAGTGAGCATGATAACTACTGCACTAGGACAGCTATTTCCAATATTATCAAATACAATAATAAACATCTAAATGTGGATTATCAAATACAATGAGAACCACAGCTACCAGGTCTCTTCTGTTGCAGACTTTCTGGTCAGTTCAATGTAGAAATCAATCAACAGTTCCAAGCTGGACTTGCCGGGGCTGATATACTCTGATCCAAAGTTGGTCTGAAACAGAATCCTGTACATGTCAAATATAGCAGCAGCTACATGCAAAATAGTGTCCTGTCACAGCAAGAAAGGAAAAGTGCCAGACAGCTAACTTCATCAGGATGTGAGGCTAAAATATAGTGATCTTGAAATGAGGATATATTGTAATATGATGGATGCAGTGTACAGCATTATTACTAGATATGAATGCAGAAGAAGATACAGCAGGAGATTCAGTGAACAAAGGGAGGGTAAGGCAGAAGAAGAAATATGGAGTAGGGAGAAGTTATTATGAAGTGAGAAGAGGAGAAAGATGACACAGGAGGAGGAAAATGATAGAGGGGGAAGAGGTTAGAAAGAAGAAAAGACGGGAGGAGGGAGATGATGGAGGAGGAAGAGGTTAGGAGGAAGTGAGGACAGAATGTGGAATATGATGAAAGAGGAGGAGATCAGAAGGAATGCAGGAGGAGGAAGAAGGAAGGACATGAAGAAGCAGATAAAGAAGCCAGAAGGAAGAGGAGGATGAAAGAAAGAGGAGAAAAGTTTAGATTGAAGAGAGGGATACACAGTGGAATAGTCAGAATTGAGGGGAAGATACAGAGAAACAATATTATTATGATCAGACAGAAAGAGAAGAGAAACAATTAGAAAGTAATTTGTTTTATATCCCTTGTGGTGGAATTATAAATTAGTTTCAAATTATGCCTTCTGTGACATTATCTCCTAGCACTCAACAAAAATCTCCTGGGTTCGAATCTGCATCGAGTCAAAGTTCTTCTTTATAAAAATGACATGGCTTCCAGGTCGACCTAGCCTAAAACTGGTACCAGGTAAGTGAAGGCAGCTGGTATGATGCTGACCACATCACCCACTGAGTCTAGCAACATATGCCCTATATGCTAGTTAAAAAGAGAAAAGGGTCCTTAACTTTTTTTTAAATAGTTTTTTTGTTTTTTTTTAAATTTACATAGCAACAATAACACAGACAAAACTAACCCAATTTAGACAAGAAGAAGATTGCATGATTTAGACCATATAAAGATAATATGGAAAGGGGGGGGGGGACACACATAAACAATAGATTGCACAATTTACTGCCTGGCATATTATGCTGTATCTCATCAGCTGCACACTACAGATACAAATGAATAAACAGGAACAAATAAATTAATCCTTATAATGAAAGCAAATAAATGAATCCCTCTAAATGAAATACAAAATTAAGTACACTCAATAGTTAACTTCTTTTTTTTTTTCTCTTCTTAGCATTCTACTGCTGTAAATTCTGGCGGAAAGTTCTTATTGCTTCTGAATTTTAATCATGTTATACATAACTTGTTTATTTATATGCAGGCTGTTGGTTCCTCGCTGCTCAGGCAGACGCACTCTGACTTTGTAGGAAACCCTTTTATTTAGACACTTTTGAACTTGTTTACGGGGTGGGTGGTCTACTCATCCCCCTCACCCCCCAAATGAGGCCCGGAACCCACACAGACAGTAAAAGTAAATAAGGCCAGTCAATAAACTGTCTAATCCATTGTTTGATAGAGATGATACAAAGATTTGCCACACCATAATATAGACAAGACAAGGATGAAAAATCATGTTACTGAAGATGATCTTACCACAGGCACTCGATGATTGACATTTGCTCCCCGTTCAATCAAAAGTCGGGCCAAATGGAAGTTTCGAACTGCAACTCTCTCATGGTATTCATCAACACCACACAGACAAATGTACAATGGTGTTCTCTGATAGCAACCTGGCAATGCATTGAAAATACACCTGGCAATACATAAACACAAACAACTCCTTCACAAAGAGTAAGAGTGATTTCCACCCTTTTCTTCTTTTTCTTATAGTCCTTCCACCTCTTATTCTTTTTCTTCATTTTTTTAACCCTTTAAATTCCTCTTTTTCCTATTTTGTTTCTTCTTCTTCCTCCTCTCTCTCCCATTCTACTTCTTCTTCTCTGCCATTTACATTCTTCTTTTTCCTATTTTGTTTCTTCTTCTTCCTTCTCTCTCTCCCATTCTACTTCTTCTTCTCCTCTTCTTCTTCCTATTATATACACTATTCCCTTTTTCTTTCCCTATTCTATGTCTTCTTGTTCTTCACCCTCCTACTCTACGCCTTTTTCTTTCTGCACCTTTGCTATACTTTTCTTCCTCCTCTTCCTATTCTACTTCTTTCCTTCTAATGAGTTTTTTCCCCTCCTCCTATTCTTCTACTTCCCCTTCCTCCTGCTCTTCTTCTTCTTCTCCACTAATTAAAAATAATAAAGATACAGAATTAAAGGAAAGTGTTACATTTTACACTTTGTCATCTGTCTATCATTCGAAGATTTTTCTCCAAAATGGAGCCCTGGAACCTACATGGAAAATGGATATAGCTACACAACCTGTTTAGTTGCATACCTTTACAAAATGTCATAAATCAACCCCAGCCCTAGTTGTCTGATTGTGTTTTCTTCTTTTTCTTATAGTCCATGCCATGTGGCGTTGATAGTCATTTCTATCCACAACCTTCTGTCTTGTGTACATTCAATCAACTCTGACACAGATGATCTTCCAAGCCATGATGTCAAACTGTCCAGCATCTTCTCTCTCGGTCTCCCTCTGCCTCTTTTTTCCTCCAACTTTCCTACTGTCACAATGTACTACAGTTTTCTCCTCTTCATGACATGACCAAAGAATGTTAATTACCTCTTTCTGATGTGAGCAATCAGTTCTCTTCCTGAGTCCATTTCTTTCAAGATATCTCCATTACTCTTTTTTATCTATCCAAGGTATACTCATCATTCATCTATAAAACTACATCTCTGCAGCTTTCAAATAATTTGTTTACTAGTCTACTAACTGTCCATGTTTCACTTCTATGTATCATAATATAATTTATATAACTGCAAAAGTATTTTGTTTGTGCTTTACCAGGCAATTTTAAGTTTGGTAGTTTGGCACTGCATTCTGAAGTCAACCCTTACAACTTAGTCAGAATCAACATAAATCAGGATGCCTGCCCATCAAGAAGTGAATCAAATGCAGAATTCTAGAATTATGAAATTGCTGCCACACACCCTAAACCACAGACACTGACATCAAGATAACAAGCAGACTGTCTTCCCCTGTCTAATCTCATCTCTACATTCTGACACCTCACCATCTTTCTTTGCAAGAGTGTTTAACTGTGCTTCAAGGAGGAATGGGAATCACAGCCCATGTACACACCTGAGACAGATGCACCTACTTGTGGTACTTACCATCGTCCAGATAAGAAGCATTCGGACATTCCAGTATCAGGCGCTCAGCAGTCGCATAATTTCCATCTTCTAAAGCTCGGGTTAATGCTGTATCATTCATCCCAAACTCAACATGAAACACAAATGCCATGTCTGAAAATGCCACTTGTGCTTGTAAATGGGGCCTTTGCTAGTGGAGAGACCTCTGCTTCAAAATGAGGTGACTAATGTTTACTCTGTGAAGCACGATAATAAATAGTTACATCTTTGAAATAAAAATATGTTTAAAAAAAAAATTTAACTCCGTTAAAAGCGTATCCTGAAGTGCATAACTATGTTAGTACAGTGACCCATTTCTATGCCAACCGGGTATAGTGAGCATGGGCACCGGCACCAGCTGGGTGCTCAGGCTTGAAGAAGAACTATTAGAGGACAAAGCAGCCACCCACCATGTAATAAAGTTCTCTTTTTTCAGTTTTTTTAATACTCACCACATTACTTCAATCTTCTTCTTTATGTCCTCTTTTACCGCTTCAGGTGTTGAGGGAGATATAAGGTCCTGTTTCGTGCTCTTCCAGCTGCTTTGACCACAGACACATCGTAGTGCTGTAAAGTTTTTCTGATGTTATCTTACCATCTTGCTCTTGGTCTACTTCTTGCTCTACGTCCTTCACCTCTTTTTTGTATTTGCCTTGTATGGCATAGCATCAGAAGGCATTCTCTCCAAGTGGGCAAACCATTCGATCTGCTGTCTTTGGGTGTAATTTAGAACTGGTTCTTTGTTGACTTTATCTCGTATGACCTCTTTCCTGATTTTATCTGTTCTGGTGACTCCTACAGTCTTTCTCAGACCACATTACCATGGTTACTAATTTTCATTTATGTTTTGTTGTGAGTGACCACGTCTGGCACCGATACCATAGGGTGGAAATGAATATACTTTGTATGAGATATTTCTTTGTGATGATTGGGATTGCCTTATGCTGTAAGAGGGAAGCTAGCTGTCCCAATACTTGGCCTGCTTTACTGCATCGGATGTTAATTTCTTCGTCCGATTTACCATCTTCAGTGAATACTGTTCCAAGATATTTAAACTCAGATGCCTGTTTAATATATATATGCTCTAATGCTATATTTAAATTCTGCTTCTGTCTTCCTATTGACATTATATCTGTCTTTTCAATGTTGATTCTCATATTATTTGATTTACATTCTTCATTCACGGATTTGAGATGTTGTTGTAAATTCATAGCTTTATCTACAATCAAGGCCTAGTCATCAGCAAACAGTAATTTGTTGATGTTACTATTATTTTCGTTCCTTGGGCTTGGCATCTTTGCTTATACTGTCAGTGTAGAGGCCCAGATGTTTCTTACACTAACCTGATCAGTAGCAGTAGTAGTTGTGCTGTTGTAGCAGTAGCTGCTGTTGATGTTGTTGTTTTAGCAGCAGTAGTAGTTGTTGTCCGGCGTCTGTAGATAAGGCGTTACGAACACTCTTTGTAATGCCAGGGTGCCGGGTTTGATCCCAGCTGCGAACCTTGTGCCCTGCTTTGATTTCGACAGTGGTATCAAGAAGCCGACTGTCCAGAAAGCAATGGCAAACTACTGGAGGTAAACTTGCCTAGGAAAACCACAACATTTCAAAAATGCTGGATTTGGTTCTGCAGCGTACTGTAAAGGATACGCAACTTTCAAAAAAAAAAAATTAGTTGTTGCTCCTGCTGTCGTACTAGCAGCAAGGGTTTTTTTTTTTTTTTTTTTTTTTTTGTAGAAAACAAAAATGTGCGAGCATTTACACACACACACACACACACACACAAGTACTGATAAAAAGTGAGAACTGATACTACATGAAAGACTGTGGAAACAAAGCTTTGCACCAAATTCATTGAGAAACAGAAGACCATAACTGTTTCGTCATCTCCTTAGACGGCAGCCACAACTCCTAACCGGGCCGCTACACATGTAATAAAATGAAACCAGGATGTCCTGCTAGGAGAAAGGGGCTGATGGCATTAAAGACCTTTTACATCTACATGGAATGACAAATGCCACTGCCACCCATCAAGCAATGGATCGCAAACTGTTACTCCCCACAACAAAAGTGAAACCTGATGATGCTCTTCAAAGAATACATGAGCCTTTCCGGCTCTCCTCTGAACTTCTACCCCTGCATTATGGCGGCCTGAAATATCTGTTCGGGGCTCAGTTCTATTAAAAATATGTCGGCTCCGTATAATGAAACAAATGCTCTAACAGGGTCTCAGGGATGTGTTACTTGCGGACCTGTTTCTTATTGTTTCTGATTACCTGACAATTCTAAGAGACGCAACACTGCAGACGATAGTAGCAGAGGATAATAGCGACCGTTGACACTTTCCATTGTCGGACTTTCTGCCGAGGAACAAATATGTAAAATGGGGTCTTGTCGGATTTTCTGCCGACGAACAAATCGCGGCAGATCTAGGATCGGCTCGGAAAAACGAAACAAATGCTCTAACAGGGTCTCAGCAATATGTTACTTGCGGACCTGTTTCTGTGACTATGCCTCACCGCCGAGCGTATCCCCAGCGCCGCTACACGGGGCGCAGATAGGGGCTAAACTAGATGGCTGGGACTCACGAGCAGCAGCTACCGCATCTCCTGCAACTTCCTCCAATTACTTTGCTCGTGAGTTCCAGGCACCTAGTTTAGCCCCCCCCCCCCATCCGGGCTGCGCGTAGCGGCGTGGGGGATACGCTCGGCGGTGAGTTTAATCGCGTTTTGCGCATGCCGACAAGTCTGACATCTACCGCTGCTAAATCCTCCATTCAGAAGAACAGCATTGCTAATCTGCGTGGGAGCGCGTGGTCTACCCGCCATATCACTTTCATCGTCTGTAATGTCTTGAAATTGTCAACGGTCGCTTTTATCGTCTGCTAGTATCGTCTGCAAAAACGCTCGACATTGTCACCGGTCGCTTTTATCATCTGCTACTATCGGCTGCAATGTTGCGTCTCTTCAAACTGTTAAGTAATCCTAGTTTTGCTGTGATTTGTTCCTTGGCAGAAAGTCCGCATTTTTCTTTGAGCTGAGCCCCCCCCCCCCCCCCCCCCCCCCCCCCCCCCCCCCCCCCCCCCCCCCCCCCCCCCCCCCCACCCACCCCCTCCGAACAGATATTTCAGGGGGTAGAAGTTAGGAGGAGAGCCGCCTTTCCTTCCTATTGTAATTTTGAATTGTATGATTTTACAATTTTAGTTCTAGTTTATAAGAAAAACTGTTTAATCTTGCCCGGCCGATCTGTGAAGACGCCTATTTGTAAAAAGAGTTCCGCCGTCACGGGTACTAATTTACAATCAGTCCACTGACATGACAATACTGCATCTGACTGAAGTATTATTAACTGGCAAGTGAGTCACCACTGATCGCTACCTATTTTTTAAAAAAAATTCAAAACCAATATATAGATTTTTTTTTTCCTTACTTTATATCTGCGACTTCACTTGACACATAACATAGTGTAGATATGGGACATTAAACATCGTCTAGCTATGACAGATTGTATTCCAGCCTCACAGTATACAAACCGGTCCCTAGTCAACAAATGTTCACATAACAGCCATCAACAGTCGTCGTCTGCTTGGGCGACATTATCGGAACTCTCTTGTGTAAAATGTTTATTTACATTTACCTTCAGACTAACCCTGAAATAAAGGCTATTAAAAGATTCTTATTAGGTTTATGAGTCTTGTGTCCCGAGCACATTACTGTACGGCTGCGAATCCTGGACTCTATGCTCCACAGGAAAAAAGACTGAATACCTTCCATATGCGCTGTCTGAGACGCATCCTTGGTATATTATGGCGAGACCTTGTCTCCAACGAATGTGTGCTCACAAGAGCAAAAATACCATCAATGTATTGTATACTGAAGCAAAGACGTCTGCGCTGGCTGGGACATGTCTCCCGCATGGAGGATGGTCGTATTCCAAAAGATCTCCTATATGGTGAATTGGTAACTGGGAATAGACCTACAGGAAGGCCAAAGCTGCGCTATAAAGATGTATGCAAACGTGACCTAATAGATACTAACATAGGCACAGAGACATGGGAAAAATCAGCTGCAGATCGACTACTATGGAGACAGAAAGTGAAAGACGGACTGTCACTTTTTGAAAGAAACCGAACACAACGAGCTGTGGAGAGGAGACACCGGGGGTAAAACTGCCTCACAACGAGGCAGTATCTGCTTTTGTGTGTATGCTGTGTGGCAAAGGCTGCCATTCCTGCATCGGACTTTACAGTCACGGCAGATGCTGTTCCCAAAGCCAGCGGCACATCTCCATAGTCCCCCGGGACTGACGGATGCCATTATTATTAAAAGATTCTTATTATACCATGGCTCCCCCCAGAGGCCATTACCTTGTAGTGGTGGGGGAGCTTGAGAGCCTCAATGATCTAATGAGCTTAGCCGGCGGGAACGTATGTTCCTGGCAAGGTCACCCAAGCCGGACAGGACATTGGTGAGGGGCCAGACTAAAGATGGCCTCTCGGTCCTCCAGGCTCGGGGGTTGGGCGCAGTGTTGACAGCTCTGCCCTGTAAAAAATCTACAACGTTACTGAAACTTCAAGAGGAAATAAGTGCTCTAAACGTCCGGTGGTCTTGGGACAGAGTCCCTCTGTCAGCATGAACAACATGGGTGAAAGCCGAAAGGAAGCCCATGATGGGAAAACAAGTCTGCTGGATGTCAAAACAAAATTAAAGTGACCTGAGTGCGGCATCTTTGACATGGAAAACTGCACTGAAGATGGCACAGGACAGGAAAGCATGGAAAGTCCTATCTGAAGCCTCATGTGCCACAATGCATAACTAGAACTGATGATGATGATGATGATGATTATACCATGGGCGACGGACGACTATATTTTGAGAAGGCGGGGCATAGACAAACATCATCGTCGTCATTCCTTTGCGGGATGCAATTTTTCATTATTTTGAAGCCCCACCCTAGCTGTTTCCAGGGGCCGCAATTAGGTTATCCTCCGACTATCGGTCGGTAAAGATGGCGGCCAGAAAATAGCTTTTCGAGTCACAGTCACGTGACTTAATTGCGCCCGCTGCTGCTCGTGGGTCCTAGCCATCTAGTTAAGCCCCATTCCACGCCGCGTGA